CGGATCGGAAACGCGACCCACTGAGAAGATCCGGCGAGAAACTCAGTGGGCTGTGTCTGAGAGTTAATTTACTCGTCGAGCCTTTCGTAGCAAGCGACGGGTTCGACGAGAACGGTGACCGGTGCTTGAAGTACCTAGAAGCACCGTCAGTGGATCGGGGGGATCCGAGATGACGTGTTTTGGGCGACGTCGACTGCTTTCCACTCTTTCCGCAGGATCGGGAATGTAGTTACCGGCGGCCACGATGACAGGGTTCTCGTGTCGTGCCGCTTTATCGAAGTAGCGCATCGACGCCGACTGCATATACTTACTAGTGGACTCTAAGTCCAGGTCGTCATGGAGGTTATCTATCATACAGTAACCATATCTTTATATATATATGATGTTAGTCCGCGCGGGTAGGTACCACCACCCTGCCTATATCAGCCGTGAAGCAGTAATGCGGTTCGGCTTGAAAGGTGGGGCAGCCGTTGTAACTATACTGAGATCTTAGAACTCATATCTCAAGGTGGGTGGCGCATTTACGTTATAGATGTCTATGAGCTCCGGTAACCACTCAACACTAGGTGGGCTGTGAGCTCGTCCACCCAATTATGCAATTAAAAAAAATACTAATAACAACTTCCTACGTGTAGAATTGTTCGAGTAATTTAATAGTGTTTTTTTTGTTATCCCTACTACTCTTGATAAGGGTCACTTCACAATTCTATCGATGTTGTTCGTCTACAGTTACGTCAAAAGTACAAACAGGAGAGGGTTAAACACGTCATTAGGGGACTTCGAGTGGGTGGTACAATTTTGTACCTTCGACTCGTTAGTGTAATGTTTAGTTGATGTTATAACGTTATTTACAGCTTGCTTTTTTTTATAAAGCATTGTTTTCATTTGAAATTAGAATATGAATGTATAAATCTAATGAAATAAATCAATGAAATGACAATGAGTGCGCCTGCAGTGTAATTCGCGGAATTCGACCCGTTAATACAATGGGTAGTAGATGTTATAACGTTATTTACAGCTTGCTTTTTTAATAAAGCATTATTTTCATTCGAAATTAGAAATCTAAATGATTAAACCTAAATGAAATAGATCAATGAAATGACAATGAGTGCGCCTGCAGTGTATAGTTCCCGGAATGTTGGTTCCATTAATGATTCATGTTTGATTATCGTGCCGATAAGAATGCTATATTGCAGTTGTTCTAATGAACCCGTAAATCAACTGCAAACTATTGTCAATGGACGTGGAGCCGCTCTTTCATACGCAATTTTAAGACTCGAATATGAAACCGATTTTATAAATGGAATCGAAGTCAATTACCTTTATCTAGCTAATATACCACTTACCGCTACTATCGTTAATTAAATCAGTGATTGATTTTGAAAATAGAAACAGGCATATTGTAGTGGCATTAACATCAAATTTGTCGTCGTGGCCTAAAGGATAAGACGTCGGTGCGCTTAGTGCGAGTTTTTTAACGTTCTCGATAGCGTAAAAGTTAGCTTATATTTGTATGAAATGGGATCGTTCGCGTACGCCCCGGTCACCGTCCTCGTCGAACCCGTCGCTTGCGACGAAGGGCTCGACGAGCGAACTAACCCATAGACACAGCCCACTGAGTTTCTCGCCGGATCTTCTCAGTGGGTCGCGTTTCCGATCCGGTGGTAGATTCTGCGAAGCACTGCTCTTGCTAGGGTCAGTGTTAGCAACTCTCCGGTTGAGCCCCGCGAGCTCACCTANCGTCCTCGTCGAACCCGTCGCTTGCGACGAAGGGCTCGACGAGCGAACTAACCCATAGACACAGCCCACTGAGTTTCTCGCCGGATCTTCTCAGTGGGTCGCGTTTCCGATCCGGTGGTAGATTCTGCGAAGCACTGCTCTTGCTAGGGTCAGTGTTAGCAACTCTCCGGTTGAGCCCCGCGAGCTCACCTACAAACGTTAGGGTGGAAGCTGAAATAGCCTCTCAAGGCTAACAGCATAGGTAGGAAAAAAAAAAAAATTGCGTACGTTTGCCGCTAGGGGCGCTATTTCAACTGCATACAAAATTGGGTTAAGTTTTACGTTATCAAAAACGTTAAAAAACTCGCACTAAGCACACCGGTGCATTGATTCGTATCTAGCGATGCAACGGTGTTCGAATGCCGCAGGAGCGTACCAATTTTTCTAACGAAATACGTACTTACCAAATGTTAATGTTCACGATTGACTTCCACGGTGAAGGAATAACATCGGGTAAAAAAAATCAAACCCGCAAAATTATTATTTGCGTAATGACTAGTGATAGGACCTCTTGTGAGTCCGCACGGGTAGGTACCATCGACCCATCTAAAAAATAATAATTTTAAACTCGATTCGTTACGTTGCCAACAAATATGGTAGCCATGGAGAAAGACGCGACAGTTACGAATATAATGAGTAAAGCAAAACGTGTAATTTCAACGCCATTAGCCTTATCACAGATCTCGCTGGGAGTTATACAGATAAAAGGGTAATTTCCTACAGATTCTTGAATATTTCTTATCTCTTTTAACAAGCTGTTTTGGTTGAAAACGTAATGAAAATTATGATTTATTTGTTTGTTTACTTCTAAAGAGATTTTTAATTAGATGATGCGATGCGTGGCCTATCTTAGTACATAGTATAATATGTCTCTTGTGAAAAAGGTTGCATGTTTGAGATCTAATTTTATTAAGCTATTGCATAGCTTTTATCGCGGGCTTTGAGCGCGGCGACCGAATCAAGAAATTTCGTAACGAAACTAAAACTTAACACCCCCCACTCCGCCTACCATGTAGCTCGCGTTCAACATATTCACACGTTGCGCTGGTGTAGTGTTTATGAATAAGCGCGCGGCGTGACGTCGCATTGCATGAGCATCATGAAAAGTCTGCCCATCTCTCTCTCGCGCGGTCTAGCTTATGAGTGTGAAGGGGACAGTTAATGTTTTGCTTTTGTTAATGTTTATAAATATAGCGTTTTCTTATTTATTTATTTTTACGATACGATACGACCCTGATCACGTATACTACTAAGAAAAAACAGTATGTCGTCCGTGGCCCGGTAGTAAGTCGCTTGGTCTGCTCTTACTTTTTAATATTAATTGATAGGAGCACATCTTACGGGTCTAATTCTCGTTCCGTGCCACATGAGGTCGAAATCTTATATGAGGGAACCTATTCGTGCTTACTATGGTCTATACCACTGTTCTGCCGCGAAGCTGTGTAGCGTCCAGCTTCCATAGAAGGATAGACGATATTTGAATGTCATTTAATGCCTGAGTTACCCTTTCTTAATATATTGTTCATAAGATTCCTATCTTAAACGAAAGAACTGTTGCGCAATTCAAAAACACGTGATTTCCTATTTAAAACTGACCACGCTTTCATTAGTACTAGCGGGCCCGCGGTAGTCGAAATTCGACTATAATTAATTGAATTGTAAGTTTGTACACTATTATGACTGTATTTTATACTTCTATAATCACAAATTTCGCCAAACACTATAAAAAATATTAACAAAGACAAACAATATTTAATCTCAATTTGACAACAGACGTCAAGAACAAAAGTTTGACAATAAATAGTATGCATACGTGTGTGCGTCAAATACATGGTATGTAGTGTGTGTAATGTTTTCTTTATTGATTTAATGTATCTTTTATGCATTATTTAAAAAAAATATTAGCATTGTGCACTTCTTCTCTATAATCTCTATAAGTTTGGAAAATTTCATACTCCTCCGTCCGCGCAATTTTCGTAAAAAGGGATACAAAGTTTTTGCTTCACGTATTAATATATAGATATTATGCGTCTTGCTTGCGCATTTTAATCGTTCAATTTAAAGGAGAAGGACAAAAAATATTTATTCGTTTCGCGTAAGCAGTATACGAAATAGATAATTATATGCTATGGCAATGAGTCTAATTAAATTGACCTTTATATTGATAACCCGAGATTGAATTTGTTTACGTTAAATCCATTTATATTATATATCAAATCGTTAGTGTGTTCGTTCAGAATCCCCGCTTTTGGTGTTTGTTCTTATGGAAAATTTGCATTTAGTGTAGTTTAGTGTAGTGTTTCGTGTTATACGTCGTATTTTGAATTAAGAGGTAAAATATTTAAAGACGATTTCATTGTGTGGTTAATCGATGAGTTTATAAATTTTCTGAAAGTAATCTCATACGCTTGTGAAGATTTGTGATTAAAATTATATGATCTTTTTTTATTGCTCAGATTGGAGAACGAAATCACGGCCCATGTGATGTTAAGTTTTCTCACTGGAGCCCATAAGCTCATTACAACGAATTTTAATATTTTTTGTATGACGGCTATAATACGGTTTAAAAGTAAAAAAATATTATTATTTTCACTGATGCGTTAACCCTATTTCAGTAAAATGAAAGAGTAAGCTACGCAGAATGTACCTACATTTCTACCTGATTCGCGGAACGTCAAAAATTTTAAAAGACCTAACCTTACGTAACAACCTAACCGATCATTTACTTTTTTTATAATAAACGTCAAATTTACAGAAACGGCTCAAGGTTGTTATTTTTTAGTTGCTCATTATGCTCCAGTACTTGAGTACAATGACATCCTTGACATTTATGAATGAAAAATTGAAAAACTATTAAAGTAGACAATTATTAGGTAAAATAGGTACGTAGGCCTTTCTGTTAAATAATCTGGTTCCATGGCATGACAGCATATTAGGGTTGACAAATTTTTGGCTTTGATAATTAATTATATTTTTACGGGGTATTTTATGACACCCGGTATAGTTAAAACAAACACTAAAATGTAGTGACTATAACTGTACGTGCACAAGTTATATTCGTCATTTGTGTGTTTTTTTGTCTAACTTGTTATATAAAACAGGAGGAAACCTTATGTGTCATTTAATCTAGAACCTAATTGCATGTATGTGTGTGTAAACAGAAATTTAGAATCTATGTAAGAGTTCTCCGATTTTATTTTTAATGAATATTTTTGTTCCAGGAAAATAATCTGAAAAGCGATCGGGTCACACATCACGATGCTTCAATGTTCACTTCTCATACTTACAGTTTTATGCATCTCTATTCAGGGTATGTATTCTTATATCTCTACTGGAAGTTTCGCTAAGCAATATACTACTGTGGCCAAAGTAATTTACTGACTTTGTTATAACTAGACGATGACCGGTATTTTTTTTATATTTTATAAGAAAAAGACAAATAATATTTAAAAAAAAAATCATTTTCTTGGTCCAACCTTAAACCAAACACTCATTGGCTTCGAGTGGCTTAACAACGCCATCTGCTGTAATAGCTTAATAGTATTATTATTCACCAATAGATGTTGGGAAGAGTCAATTGATAAAGTTAAAAATTCAAAACACGATTAAAACAACATTTTCTGAAAATAATTCGTAGCTAGATCGATTTATCGCCCCCCCGAAATCCTCTGTATACTAAATTTTATGAAAATCGTTGGAGCCGTTTCCGAGATTCAGATTATATATATATTAATATACAAGAATTGCTCGTTTAAAGGTATAAGATACACTAATTAGCACAGTTTGAAATAGTATTGTTTATTAGATTGATAAAAAATCTCGCTCGATACGAATAAACCTGACGTGTTGTCATTTAGACCGTCAAACTGTGACACACACTGCAACAACAAAATATTAAATTGTTTTAAATAAATATCACAGTCGTAGTGTAAAAAGTCGTTGAACGAGTAGACTAGATAATCAAATTAAAAAATTGTTCCTACTAAGATTTAATACGGGAATGAACTCCATTCTAGAGTGAATACGAACGCTATGACATTTCTTCGTTCCAATGAGACTTAGGTGAATATTTTACAATAGGCAACGGGGCAGCGGTGTCACCAACTTCACCAGTCATCATGGCAGTCATCACTTCTATCAAGTGAAGTGAATCTATACTAATATATAAATCTACAGTGGTTTTTACGGATGTTCCGTTATAACTACTGAACCATGTATCCGATTGATTTGAAACTTGGTATCCATGTAGAAAATACATGTACTTAATGGATAGGCTAATATTTATATGAGTGTTGGACTCCCTACACCAGTTGCGGGGGCGTTAATGATGAGAATCTTTGTGGGGGTCAGAAATTATAATGCTAATTTTAAATGCCCAGTGAAGCGGACGGGTACAGTTAGTGCAATATAAAAGTGTAATGACAATCATGAGTCGTCCTAAACTTAACTAATAGATTGAACTAAGCTCCGAACTGTGCCATTAAAACCATTCGCGTCATCAAGAATCAACTTTTCGATACCTCATGAACTTTGATATTATTTGTTATTATTAAATGTCGTCTTTTTTCACAGATATCTCTGGAAGCTGGGAGGAATGGTGGACTTATGATGGTATTTCAGGTAAGCCTTCAGAAACATTAAAGACAAATCAGATATCTAATGAATATTTCACTTACACTAAGCTGGACTACGGCATTATCTCTCGCCTAGCTCATTTTTTAGCAACAAATTTTCAAAAAACATTCCGAATTTAGCAACGCTGGAAGCATACTATAATGTCAAATGTTTGTCACAAAAGATATTTGCGATATAACATCGAACCGGCACTTGTGTTGTGCAGTTCTAAAGCCCTTCATTTAACCAGCGACCTAGTGAAAAGTATTTAACATTCTTTATCATAGTATTCATTACATTTCACTTAGCGTAGTTCACCAGTAGGCAGCTGTTTCCTGACGTTCATGATAGACGATCACAACAAACCATTTGCTGGGCCGTGTTTTCCTTTATCTACAAAGCTAAAACAAAAACGAAAACGTATTAGAACATTTCACACTACGCCACGGATAAATCAATGCATGTCAACCCTCCACGTAATTCATATGTAGTGTAATGACACAAGGTAATGATCGTCGATACGATCCTAATGACAGTGTGCGCTCAACCGTATCATTATATTGGACAACCAATGATCGTCCGACCTCAAATCTTGTGTAGCAGCTTACGTAAGCTGCTGCTTGGGATATGTAGACCGTTTTAATCAAGACTTCACTTTCTTAAGCAACTGAGAATCATGACCTTAGATTTCCTTTGCATTTGATTTTGAGACGCAGAAATCTTCTTTCTAATCTTATCTTCTAACAAAGTTTTATACTACAGACACAATCGAAGACAATTTAGCACCAGATTCTCTTGTGCATCAATCAGGAATTGGTGACATAAAATGGGAATATGATACTTTTTTTTTTTAATTTGAATACTGAAAGAAATCAAAGCCTATCTAAGGGTTGCCAGAGTCATGGAAACCCCAATTTGAACATTATCCACCAGCAGACCTTAAATTGAATCGCATAAGCCCCAAATGTATTCGTGGAACATCTAAGTTTGCATGACTTTTTTTCATTAATATTCCTCGTTAATGTATCGATACACCACTAACCATTCACAATAACGACGATACCACAATGACGACTTCCGTTAGTGTCTCAGGACCTATTCGAATTACATACGATTCGATACACAATGATGGTCGAATTTCGCGGTGTAGTGAACCTCCATTGAATACGATATCGTTCGGCCTTCGCCGGGTTAAACAGCCTTTTCCATTTCAGTGGCATTTTGATCTCAGATTTTGGTTAATAGCCGTTTTGAAACGTCTTCGGTCGACCGGTCGTGAACTTTGTAAGGGTATTAAGCTAAATTTTGTACTATCATGAAGTCTGACGAACGCAGCTAGTGGGTTTACGGACCCACCTTCATTTGTAGTCATTCAATAGCTTTACTGCTGAATGCCCTGAATGATTATATCGTACTCAGTTAGTATAAAGGCGAAGATATAGTAAGTAAGTAAGTAAAGTCGTCGTGGCCTAAGGGATAAGACGTCCGGTGCATTCGTGTTGAGCGACGCACCGGTGTTCGAATCCCAGGCGGATACAGATTTTTCTAATGAAATACGTACTTATTAAATGTTCACGATTGACTTCGACGGTGAAGAAATAACATCGTGTAATAAAAATGAAACCCGCAAAATTATAATTTGCGTAATTACTGGTGGTAGGACCTCTTGTGAGTCCGCGCGGGTAGGTACCACTGCTCTGCCTACTTCTACCGTGAAGCAGTAATGCGTTTCGGTTTGAAGGGTGGGGCAGCTGTTGTAACTATACTTGAGACCTTAGAAGTTATTACTCAATGTGGGTGGCGCATTTACGTCGTAAACGTCTATGGGCCCACCTGGTGTTAAGTGGTGTTAAGCTCACGCTCGTCCACCCTACTAGCAATAAATAAAAAAGTAAATACCCAAACAGCGAATTGGAATCTAAAAAATCCTCGGTAATAATAGGCAGGTTGACATATCCGAACTGTGAAATTATTTAGAGGCTGAATTTACACAATAAGTATTAAGAAACATAATTGTTGAGATTATCGTTTTCTCGAAAACAGGTCCTGGTTTTTGGGGCCTAATAAACCCGCAATGGAGTATGTGCAACAAAGGAAGAAGACAAAGTCCAGTAAACGTGGAGCCAGATAAACTTCTCTTTGACCCGTGGCTTAGAGAAATCCAATTCGATAAGCATAAGGTTAGTAATTTTAGTATACAATATAGAGGTTCTACAGCCTTAGTTCCCAAAGTAGTTCAGATGAACCTCCAGGGGTCCCGATGGGGTCTACGTTGGCGTAACCAAAAAAAATGGGGCATTCACAATTCGTAAGCGAGGCTCTACGAAATTTTTTTTGCTTACGATAGTAAATTATTGGCCGTCCGTCCATCAAGTACATCCCTCCCATTAAAGTTATGACCACTTTGTGATTGTCATTGTAAAAATTCCGTTACGTTATTAATGTTTAATTGCGATTATATTACGACTGTAATCATATTACAATGTAATATGTTAAAATTTAATATGATACCAAAAATTATTAATAGTGTAATAATGACATATTTGAATGAACACTGACCATTTTGATTTTTATGACCACCACTCACAGCACAATCAATTAATTAACAAACCAATCAATTCTCACTTTTATTTATTTATTTCGAAAACCATTAAATTTGCGCTTGAAACTCAGTCGAAACGTAAATTTCCATACTTAGATCTAATACGCATAATTGGGGAAAATAAGATCATAGAATTTATTAAAGAATTCGTATATTCATGTCAAAATTTGATGAGCATATCGTATGTTAAAAATTACCTCTATGACTCTTTTGATAAGGGCGTTTCTTCAATATTCAAATTGCAATTTGGAACTTTGCATGTTTTATTACATGACAGAATAACTGAAAACTTTAGGCAGATAATAATATAATATTAAGTCATAGGTACTGCGCTTCCTCGCGGATTGGTACTAATGTCGTCAGTACGAATTTTAAGCCTCCAGAAATGGGTACGACCATACGGTCTATTCTTGCTACGAAGCTGTCTTAAGTTACAGTTTGACAATGATCAAACAAGAAAATAAAGTACATAACTCAAGATGCGTGGTCACATTTTATTTGTAATGTCTACTTTTTTTTTCCTACCTATGCTTATAGCCTTGAGAGGCTATTTCAGCGTAACCTTAACTAGTAGGTGAGCTCACGGGGCTCAAACCTGACGACGTTGCTAACACGAACTCTAGCAAGAGCCGTGCTTCGCAGAATCTACCACCGGACCGGAAACTGTAATGTCTATAGATTTGACATCGTTCGTCCAACCTTGCCACACAANTAACTAGTAGGTGAGCTCACGGGGCTCAAACCTGACGACGTTGCTAACACGAACTCTAGCAAGAGCCGTGCTTCGCAGAATCTACCACCGGACCGGAAACTGTAATGTCTATAGATTTGACATCGTTCGTCCAACCTTGCCACACAAAACTCTCAGACACAGCCCACTGAGTTTCTCGCCGGATCTTCTCAGTGGGTCGCGTTTCCGATTCGGTGGTAGATTCTGCGAAGCACGACTGTTGCTAGGGTTCGTGTTAGCATCGTAGTCAGGTTTGAGCCCCGTGAGCTCACCTACAAACGTTAGGGCGAAGCTGAAATAGCCTCTCAAGGCTATCAGCATAGGTAGGAAAAAAAACCACACAAAAAACTTCAAGAGTCTTATCAAATTTTCAAACACCTAAATTGCCGTTTCGAATCTTATCACAACATGTAAAACATGTATAAATATAAGCGTAGTCGGCGATACCGCAGCGCAGTACGGAGGTAATCCGGCATTTAAACATGGTAAGCTCCGCGTACTGCGCTTGTCGCATTTGCATATTTGCATTGTAAAAATGTAAAATAGTTTACGGGTAAAATAAATCTGCATTGTTTTAAATGTCGCTCATTCGAAAAATAATTAGTGCTTCGATTTTAAGGAACGCCTACATATGTAATAATTTCGACATTTTGTATTTTTACAAACGAAACAATGTAAAAAATGAGGAATTAATTGAATATGCCATTTCGAAAAGGGCACATGTCGCATATTTTGTCAAATACGTTTTTTCATATACATGTAGCTTTAAGGCTTACCTGCACCCATTTTATAATAATTTCAGTAATTTTCAATTGATAATTAACACTAAAATATATCTTAAAAATATTAATATTTTAAAATTTACACTGCTATAGAAAATAATCAGTTTTTTTCATTTCCTGAACATTTTACATTTTCAGAGATGTGCCCTTTTCGAAATTGCATATTCAATTAATTTTCATATTGAACTAGTACGATTAGATACTATGATCTGGCCTATTTCTAATGGAAGGTAATCATGGGTCCAGCTAGGACGGCGAGACAAATGTTACAAAATAAAAAAACTATGTGCACATATACAAAACAATATATAACTACATATATATGTATGAATTTGGTATTCGAATTAGAAAAAAGACGGTGAACGGATACTCATACGCAGATACAAAACTCATTAATTATTTTATTCTCACCTATTTTTAACAAAACACACGTCTTTATTTAAAAAAACATGTACGATAAAAGTGGTTTTGATCATTCGTGTATTTTCTTTGTAATGAAATAAAAAAGAAACTATTCGATTCTACTTTATCTCTAACAAACTAGACCCACATGATCTTAACCTGCTGTCGAAACCCGCTCTAGTGAACCGCTGCCCATCTGAACAAAAACAATGTTTTTATTTATTTTTTATTGCTTAGATGGATGGACGAGCTCACAGCCCACCTGGTGTTAAGTGGTTACTGGAGCCCATAGACATCTACAACGTAAATGCGCCACCCACCTCGAGACATAAGTTCTAAGATCTCAGTATAGTTACAACGGCTACCCCACCCTTCGAACCGAAACGCATTACTGCTTCACGGCGGAAATAGGCGGGGTGGTGGTACCTACCCGTGCGGACTCCCAAGAGGTCCTACCACCAGTTTATCTAATTTTATTACAATTTCCCTTAGTAAAATAAAGTTTACAAACGATTGGTGAATTATAATAATCAAATATTAGAAACAAGAGGTCATTAACGATAATTAAATTCAATTCGGCTCGCATATTCGTAATAGTTTCGACAACTATTCCATGTGTATTCGAGTAATGAATATTGTTGTACGGTATTTATTATACATTAAGAGTGAATTACAATTGGCGCAATGACATGCAAATTTATACGCTCGCAATAGTAGTATAGTCGTTGTCTGACTGTCGGCACAGAATGATTTCCGTTTTTCATGCATATGTACATACATGTCTATGTAACTTAAGAAATAAATGCATGTTGTCATTTCATTGCATATATGCGTATGCATTGCAATATATGGATCCTAGTCGAATCGTGTTCCTCATGTCTGAGGGTCGTGACCACCATCACCCATGAGCTTCAATCTTAAGATGTTTTTCCACTTTCCCCTGTCCACGGCGTCATGTCCGTGGACAGCCTTCCAAGCTAACGTCTCGATAGTGAAGCAACTGGGCATCAAAATCAGACTGTCTACTGTATGTCTGAAGCGGATCCTCGAGTATTTTGGTCACATTGCGAGGAAAGACGGCGATAACCTGGAAATATATGGATACACGTTGGATAATACGACGCTAATGATAAATTAAATGTAATTTAAAATGTTGAATGTATTTTGAAATATTTAAAAATAAATATTTTGACTAAGTACTACAAAAGTTTGGAGCGCATTAAATTTTTAGGTAATTTCACAGCAAACGTTTTGTTTATAATAAATTCTCTTGTAATTGTCAGCTCAAGTTGACTAATTTTAAAACACGAGTCACTTAAGAGCACTAGCAATTTTAAAAACTAATGTTAAAAATTACTCAAACAATCGCGGTTCGTTGTGTGGCCAACCTCTTGAAAAAATTACCGTAATTTGTTAGGAAAAAGTTTTTGAAATGGCAATGCATATATCTGTATATATCAAAGTATGTAATTTTTAGTTATTCGATAGATAGGTCGTAAAATCGAATTAATTTTGCGAATCCTTTATGTTAAAACAACATATCCACTCCAATTAAAAATCGATAGTAGCTTCTACAAAGCTTATTGACTCTATATATAATGGTTTCACTATACTGACGTTTGTAGAGTAATTGCATTGAATCCATTGAAATTGAATTAGGTCAGAACAGGCAATTACATTAGCACAAACCACTATGTAAGTTACAAGATAACAAAACTAATGGTACCGTCGAATCAGTCAAGTGGGCCTTTATAAAAAACGTTAGTAGCGACCAATTAGTAAAACGTCCTATGTGTACTGTTACACGGCCTTTCTCAAACTTCTATTTAAAAAAAAACACAAAAACTTTTCACGACTAAACTGTCTTTATTAGACTTCACAATTTTACAACACTATTGTTGACTTCTCAAACTTATGTATGCTCGCGTAGGCTTCCAGATTCTAACTTATGTATGCTCGCGACGGCTTCCAGATTCTAACTGGTTTTTAATACGATTTGATTTTACATGAAAGCTAAAAATGATGACTCTAATGGAAAAACACAGTGAGCTCGTAAACGAGCTGATTAGGGCAAAGCTGCTTTGTAGAGTAGTGTGTAACAGTACCTACTCGTATCGAGCGAAGCTAATCCTTACATTAAGGAGCCAATTTTTTCACGAACGATTTTCACGATAAAGGAATAAATAAATTAATTTGTATGTTTAATAAATAAATAAAAGACATCAAATAAACTTACTTTACTTTTTTACTGGTGGTATGACCCCTTGTGAGTCCGCACGGGTAGGTACCACCATCCCGCTTATTTCTGCCGTGAAGCACTAATGCGTTTCAGTTTGAAGGGTGGGGCAGCCGTTGCAATTATACTGAGACCTTAGAACTTATATCTCAAGTTGGGTGGCGCATTTACGTTGTAGATGTCTATGGGCTCCAGTAACCACTCAACAACAGGTGGGCTGTGAACTCGTCCACCCATCTAAGCAATGAAAAATAAAAAAAGTTTTTTTCTACTTTACCGGTGTTAGACGTATTGTGAACTCGCATAGGTAGATTGGTGGTCCATTTTTCTCGTCCCTTTAGATTTCAGATCCTGCCTCATGTCTGGTGATAAACGTTGTTATTAAAATTTGTGATATCTAAGGACAACCTAACACAAAACAGGCCGTAAAATTGTCAACCACTCATCTATCTATACTGAAATATTATTGTTAAAATATCCCATTAACTCATCACTACATAGTATAAAACAAAGTCGCTTTCTCTGTCCCTATATCTGTCTGTCCCTATGTATGCTTAAATCTTTAAAACTACGCAACGGATTTTGATGCAGTTTTTTTTAATAGATAGAGTGATTAAAGAAGAAGGTTTATATGTATTTCTTTTGGATTCACAAAAACTAATTTAATTTATAGTATTTATAGTAACTAGTTTAATTCTTGCTTGTGAAAACTTCCTTTTATTAAAGTTATTTTTATTTATTTTTAATGTACACGTGTAAATGTTGTGCTGCTTGCCAGTATTAGTAATAGTATTATCGTGCTTTATTTTATTTTATTTTATTTGTTGTTTCGTTGTGGGCTGCCTACGGGGTGTTGTTACTGTGTGCTTATTATGTTTTGTATTCGGNTTTTATTAAAGTTATTTTTATTTATTTTTAATGTACACGTGTAAATGTTGTGCTGCTTGCCAGTATTAGTAATAGTATTATCGTGCTTTATTTTATTTTATTTTATTTGTTGTTTCGTTGTGGGCTGCCTACGGGGTGTTGTTACTGTGTGCTTATTATGTTTTGTATTCGGGTTCACAATTTAATTTGATTTTTGTTTTGTTTTTTTTTTTTTCTTAAATTTTTATTATTTACTACTTTTACTAATATATACCATATTCTAAGTATGTACACACGTAATTAGCCTTCATTCCCGCAAAGAACCAGGGGGAAACGGGGGTGACTGAAAATCAGCGCTGTTCGATTTATCAACCTCGAACAGCAATAGCTGAGCCACCTCCTTTTGCCTTTTTCTCTTTTTTTTTTCTTTTCTTTTATTTGTATTCCATTTTATTTTCTGTGATGTGAAAGGCAATAAATGATTTTTATTATATTATTATTATTATGTATAATAACATCCATTAAATAGTGGAGAAATCAATAATAAATTACAGATTCCGAAGCGAAGCGAGGGCGGGTCGCTAGTATTACTTTAAATCGAAACTATGCACATAATATTCACCGCGTTCATAACTTTCAACGAGCTATTTATTACGTCCCGTATCTCGAATCGTAATCTTACAAAAGCCCTCATTTACGTAATATTTATGGTTATCTTTTGCATAAACATTTTCAGAACTACGAAAAACCAGCCACTCCTTGTATTATCTATTTCGTAACACGAACATAAAATTTGATAATAGTGACTGGATCACATTCAATCGGAGCAAAAACACACGATAGATTTTATTCAACTACATATTTCGTTTTTTCATCTTAAATATTCAAATAATTGCGTAAACATTAATGACACGCAATTTTTTTCCTAATTTCACATATAAATATTACATAATAATTAGTTTTAACGCTGATTTTTGTATGAGAGTTGATATGATTATTATTAAATGCCCATTCTGATATTAACAGGCCCATTATCTTGTTACAAAGTCTCGATACACTACTCTTGTTAAATTGGCAATTGAAAAGCGCAGTAGATGGACCCATAGACACAGACCACTGATTTTCTCGCCGGATCTTCTCAGTGGGTCGCCTTTCCGATCCGGTGGTAGATTCTGCGAAGCACTGCCTTTGCTAGGGCCAGTGTTAGCAATACTCCGGCTTTAACCGCGCGAGCTCACCTACACGTCAAGAAGAAGCTGAAATAGCCTCTCAAGGCTATCAGCAAACTTAGGGGAAAAAAAGTAATAGATGGATACTCTAACTCAAACCAAGGGAGGAACCGTATTTGTTCGATAACAATCTTTTTATCCGCCTTGTTGTGGCTGAAAGAATATCTTATTTGAAACAACACGGTCATTAATTACTCACTTTAATTAGGTTGACCTATGTGTACAACGGAGTACATAATTATCATTAACATTTAAGACGTGTTTCATTGAAACATACAATTCGTTCAACTTGAAAATTTGCACAAGCACCGATAAGAATACAAACCTTTTAATTTGTTTAAATTTTTGACGAGAATAAATGAAAAATGAAAAAAAAAAATTGCCTTTGCTATTAAAGCATATTTTATTTAGTTTTTAATTCACCTTTTGTTTGTTGTGTATTATTTTCTGAGCTATCACTAACTGCTCAAAGTGAACCCTAATTATTGAAATTTCTCCAATGACTTCGTCAGATTTTTAAGGAAGGACAATTTTATTTGATACTTTATTATGAATAACGGAAATATAGAAACAAAAATTTAAAAAAAAATACACCTCAAAGCGTTCTAGTATCTAAGGATCCTGGACGCCAACCTTCGCGTGTCAGCAGACAATATGTCATCTGTACTCAAAGCGCATAACTTTCTAGGCTTTAATCAAGGCGTGACCCATTGATTGATAGGATCGGCCCCCGTGGTGAAAACACCATCATTATACAGGCTGATTCATTACGTGTTACGAGTTGATGAAAATCGACTCAAATCGTGATAATGAAAATAGAGCGGGTTGCAATACCATACATAGGCTTTTGTTATTAGATGATAAATTCATTGTTATTTTTGACGATTTGGGTCACAGCTTGTACGGTATTTCCGAAGTCCATCTACAACTATCATGTACGCTGTTGTTACCCGCGGTTACGAACGACGTCGCGGGGCGAAGTTAGTCTAAAAAAGTAGCCTAAGTTACTCCTTATATCATCAGCTACCTATCAGTGAAAGTCCCATCAAAATCGGTCCACCCGTTCCAGAGATTACAGACAAACAGACAGACAGACAAACAGACAGACAGACAAATAGACAGACAGACAGACAAACAGACAAACAGACAAACAGACAGACAGACAAACAGACAAACAGACAGACAGACAAACAGACAGACAGACAGACAAACAGAGAGACAGCCAAAAAGACAGACAGACAAAAAAATATTATTTTGGTATATGTACTGTGTATACATACTTACGCCTTTAGTAAAAAGTGGTTATTTTATTATTAGAAACAGACACTTCAATTTTATTTATTTTTAAGCACAATCAATGGTTTAACCAACCTTCCTATTTTTGGGGCAAGTTTTGCTTAGGTTGGCAAGCCTATGCAAATTCAGACTTCCATGTGGGTCTTTAAGTGGACATAGGCTATCGTGTTATGGTCGATCAAGAACTCCGCCTGTCTGTGCTATTAAATTTACAAGTTTACAATAAACAATTTACTTCAGCTACCAATCACAGTAGCAATGCGATTGCGATGAGACGATCTCCAACACGATGGACGGACCTCATAAAATCTGTGACTCACTGCAACATAAATGATTGCTCTCACTCTGCGAAACACTGTGCCACATGGCGTCGCATCGCGAGAGCATCGGTATCGCAGGAGTCGACTGATGCATGACCACGACCACTCTGTCAAGAGTGTACGAATAGGAAGAAGAAGAAGTAGGGGTTCTCGTAGTCACAAGAGCCTCATGTTTTAAAATAACTATTTTTTTTAAATACCGTTAAAAATGCCTAGATAAGTTTTTCATTGATTATTAATTTTAAGCAAACCATTTTCATCTACTGAGTGAAATAAAGTTAGTTATCTCAATACTTCCTTTCCTAACCTATTTGAATTCATACAGCAGTGAACGTGTCAACATAACCCGTTTGTTACTGTTAAAAGGCATTTACTATAATTCTTTGTAACGCCCAGGTGAGCGGCGTACTTCAAAACACGGGCCAGTCCCTAGTCTTCCGCGTTGAGAAAGACTCGAAGCATCAGGTGAACATCAGCGGCGGGCCTCTGTCCTACCGTTACCAGTTCGAAGAGATCTACTTCCATTACGGTATGGAAGACAACAGAGGCTCTGAACATCAAATCGACCACCACACGTTTCCAGGCGAGGTACGTGCACTTGAATACTTTCATTCTGTTTCTTTCCAAATGTGCGAGAATGGCAGTTCAAATTTTTTCAATTCTCATACAATTTGGGTTCTTGAACTAAAAGCTGTATTTCGCTCATTCCATTTAATATGTTTGATGTTTTGACGTGACAACGTCTTATAATTCGATGGAGCCGGCTGCACGCACGAAAAAACATGACTCATGCGGCGTTACCTCGCTCTGAGACGTTCCATTTAAAGCTTGAGGGGCAAGCGAGAGCGCGCAACAAGCGACAAAGAGGCACAATCGACCTCCGCGTTCGGCAGCGTTCGACATCTGTCTCTCTCCTACTTGAGTGAGCGATGCATCCGCGTGGACAGCTGCTATACAATAATACATTTACATATTTTCGTCAAGTATGAAGTTCAGTGAAAAACGAATGTGGTGTCAATTGTTTATAGCAACGATAATTGCGATAATTGAAAAATGAAACCATTCCATCAGTATTTTCTTATGACGTTGTCACGTTCAACTATCGTCAGTAAGCCTACTTTACAGATAACCGATTTTTTAGAAAAGTTGTTTATGTAGAAAATAAAATATCAATATCTTATTGGCAATATAGTATACATTATGATATTCTAATAATTTTGCATTGCAATTACGGTTACATTGAACTACTCATTGCCTAAGCCGCAGGTTTCCGGATAATAATTCAAACTATTCGAACGTTCGGATCGGGGGAACTATGCGAACATTCTAGAAATGTCTTTGTTCCATTACCTGTTATAAGGTTTATAATTAATATCTATTACCATATTGATATACAATTAAAGATGAATTGTAGTTTAATATGATTATAAATCTTAATTAGTAAATTTATGATTCGATGGGAATCGCTTTATTTAAAAAAAATGCAATGTTCAATCTTTCATGAAATCAAATCAAAACACCAAGCAAAATAAAAGTAATATTTCGTGTTTGCTATTTATTAACTTATTATTATTATATTAATTATTTTCCACTTAACAATTATTACAAATATACACTGGTGGTAGGACCTCTTGTAAGTCCGCACGGGTAGGTACCACCACTCTGCCTATTTCTGCCGTGAAGCAGTAATGCGTTTCGGTTTGAAGGGTGGGGCAGCCGTTGTAACTATACGGAGTCCTTAGAACTTATCTCAAGTTGGGTGGCGCATTTACGTTGTAGATGTCTATGGGCTCCCGTAACCACTTAACACCAGGTGGGCTGTGTGCTCGTCCACCCAACTAAGCAATAAAAAAAACCATCCAATTATAGTTATTTTTCCTCTCCATTTCTGATGTTAATTTAATTTTCATAGGGCTTTCATACGAATTTATTTGTCAATTTGCAATAAAACGAAATATTTAACACATTTAAAAAAAACAAGAAACACGGAAAACTGTATGAAATTGTATTATTTATTAATGTTTCAGTGAAGGGTAGCGTATGTTAAGCTTTGAAACATACAATAAGCCGTTAAAGTCTTTTAAACGATGCAATAACTAATATAAAATATCTTCTGTTTGTTATAAATTTATAATTTAAGAAGCTGTTTAAACAAGTTTGTTTAAAGAGCTTCTGTCTTAGCTTTGAGAGTTGGTTTGATAGTTATCAAGTTGGTACTGAAATACTCTATGATTCTCAGATCTTTATATGTAAATGTCACGGTGGCCTGCGAATTCCATGATCTATTTGATGATAAGCGATTACTAGAGTCAGTAGATACCGACAGCAGTGCGAATCGGGGTCATCATCACAAATCTCTCGTTAATACCACTATCCTACGTTTTAAGCCCGAATAAATAATGATGTCGCGATAGTAACAGATGGTGGTAAATTTCCATATGGCCTTACACATTCCATTGATACAGTATTTTAAACTTACCTATAATACAATTAACTTAACACATCGCTACTGTTATCCATATACTTCAGATAAGAACAATTTAAACTACATTCGTGTGACGAACAGGTTTGTTTGATCTTTGTCGGGGTGTTAAATATCTATATATTGTTACGCGCTGGGTTTCGGGATAAATAAATGTTTCAAAGTACAACTTAAAACTGTATTTATCACTTAGAACACTTCAAAAACATTTTAAGATTCTCAATTCGCTTCTTCCGCTTCGCTTCAGGTGATCCGTTCGCTGTTTCGCTTCGAGTAGTTCCGATTACTAACTGACTGCGTGCCATCTCTGCACCGCTTTGATAATCGATACGACATTCCTAAATCGTCGAGAATATTCCTCACAAATCGAGTACTTTGGATGTGTGTTTCCGTTATCTGACAATAGATGGCGTTGTACTCCTCGAGCGTTCTAGATGTTACTAGATCCTTTGATATTTGTTTCGATAGATGGCGTTACTCTTACCGGCGTAACAATTTGTATTTTAATGGTTTATAAATATGTATATCAATCTCTAGTTATTATAGTACAGATAACCCTAGTTTAAGACCAGATGGCCGTATTTTTCTTGTTCTCGTTTAATATTATTAATCTATAAAAACTATGCATACTACTACTAAAAAATATTTTTATATAACAAAAAACAACATAGCACAAATCAAAAGTGGTTATTTGTAACATCACTATGACGTAATAAATCATTCAATTCTACCTACAGTTCTCAATGTTAATATCCATTTAATAATTAAAAATATATATACAAATTGGCTTTTAAGAGTCACAATGACACAAACTTGGAGGTGTTACTTGAAGTCTATAAACGTTAGCTGCGGTTTCGAACGTAAAATAATTGAGCGAAACTCCGTAACGACTTTTGATATTCGTAACTCGATAATTGCGTTTTGTACTTTATGTATTTCAAAGTTTAATTGCCATTACAATTCGTTCTAATGTTTGTCATTGATGTTAACAGTTATAATTAAAGTGATTTCAACATTATTTGACTGGCAAGTTAATTGTTTTTTTCTTTTCTTGTTATATTGCATAAGCGAATGAACGATCCGATCTACTTTGAGATATGAAGTTTCAATTGGATCGAATAACGTCTGTTCTAATCATAGCTGAACTTATTACTCCTTCGCGTAAGAAATAGGGTAGTAGTACGTACCGGGCGGACATTAAACCAGTTTATTCCGGATTTGTGCTTAGAGAAAAGTATCTAACACGAGACGAGACGAACCATTCCATTAAAAATGAAAACTGCTTCAATTAGTTAACAGTGAATAAATTTTTGTCAACTTTCAAACCTTTGCGTGGGGTGTTAACCCTCTTCTCAAATTATTATCTCGAAGCTACCTTTCAAATGACATTACGAGTTTCGGAACTTTCGAGCTTATTCGAAATTTTGAGCATTTTAATCTGAAAGTATTCTACAAAAGTTTGAGTTAATAAATTAATATTGTGTTTTGTATGTCATTATAGTCATACTGACTTCAAGATTATTTTCAACTTAATTCCGCGTTTATGAAATATAAAATACATGATATACAAATGCTCAACTTTAATTACATTACAATTTTGGCTGTATCGAATCCATTTGCGGTTATGCTGATTACGGAACATTTAACCGCAAAAGGTTTTTTCATCAACTATACTGAGACCTTAGAACTCATATCTCAAAATGGGTGGCGGCATTTACGCTGTAGATGTCTATGGGCTCCATTTAACCACTTAACACCAGGTGAGCTGTGAGCTCGTCCACCCCTCTAAGAGATAAAAAATAAAAAATAAATCCACGAAAACTCTATACTTGACTTATTTGTGCCGATTATAAAGGTTCTTAAATGTAGTACTAATAAATAATAAATAGAGTATTTAGAGATAGAGTTATTTCTGTAGATCCAGCTCTACGGATTCAACAAGGAACTCTATCACAACATGTCCGAAGCTCAACACAAATCCCAAGGAGTGGTTGGAATATCACTTATGGTCCAGGTAAATTTATTTCAAGATCCTAAATTTATGTAATAAGAAATAATTTACAGATTTTAAGATTGTATTAGGAATTTATAGCCATAATAGCTACAGTATATTTTTAGCTTTAACTGGCGAACAAACTTACGGCCAGACTGCTGTTAAGTAGTTGCCCATAGACATAACTTAAATTTCGCCACCCACCTTATAGCCGCTTTCAGACTACGCTATAATATAATAGCATTTAGTATATAACTCATAGCACAACAATATCGCACACCATACATTGTTATGGACACGTTCATACTATATATTATTGGCTAAGTATAGGCTGCTATACTGTATGGCACTATAGTATAGCGTAGTCTGAAAGCAGCTTAAGACATGAGATTAAACTAAAAAAGTATAACATAACGGCGATGCCACCCTTCAAACGCAGCAATCTTGGAAATCACTCACAAGACGCCTTACCGCAAGTAAAATCTAAACAAGGAACTGAAATGATTTATCTGCTTGGATAGGACATTTTTGAACACCTCTTACATGTTTCTACTTTTAAGACTTTTTGTCTCATTATTATCGTGTAAAAAAAACTCACAAATTTATTATATTATTTTAGATCGGGGAACCAACTAACAAGGAACTGCGACTGATAACCAGCGCCTTCAACAAAGTTACTTACAGAGGTACTATCATAATAATTTATTTATAATTAAGTTATAATACATTTCGTTTACAAATTACAAACCCGCTTGAAATAATTTTATTTTTATTTTAATTACATTTCATTTCTTAATTATAAATATGTTTGAAATATTTGAATTCATCCAAAGCATTGGGAAGCCATGATGTCTCCGTATTTCTTTTTAGTTATTGTCTACGATCAGATGCATCGTAAGTTTTTTTTATTGCTTATATACCGGCCCATTAGGTCTAGAGTGGTTCTTCTTCTCAGTCGGACACTCTTGTCAGAGTGGGCCGCGCTTCCAGGTCTGACGGTTCGAAGTTCGGTCTAGAGTGGTTACCGGAATTTAAGCACTGGTGCTTTTGCATTCCTTACTATGAGTATACCGGACGACTTATCTATCATGGCAAAATGACTTCAAGCGTCGTCCATTACAGCGAAATACAGCAGGAAGGACCTAAATTATAATTTTAAATTTTTAACAGGCAGCTCCTACCCAATCAAGCATCTGCCTCTGAGTTCTTTGTTGCCGAACACCCAGCAGTACCTTACTTATGAAGGCTCGACCACGCACCCGGGTTGCTGGGAGACAGCCGTTTGGATAATATTCAACAAACCCATTTATATCTCTAAGCAAGAGGTATGAATTAAACAGAAAACACTACTTTGTAGTTTGTATTCAATAAATCGCAGACAACTTACTCCTCTCTATTGTAACGCTTGGTTGTATATTAGTACTGTTAAAAAAATGTACGTCCACTGCGTCCAAATGTGAAACTACTATTTTCTTTGCTTTGCTGCAAAGCCAAGTATGTTTTGTTAAATACGTTTTCCCTTTCTACAAATTTATCAAGTCTATTTAGAATACAGGTACCTATGTATAAACACAAAAAGAAGTGACGAACTCATCCACACGAAAAAAAATTCACTACAAAAATTATCTTTGAAAAAAAGCTCTTTAAAGCTCTCACGATCTACGTGATTTTAAAGGGTTACCAGAACCCATAGACATCATAATGTGAATTTTGGGCCACAACCACTTACTGAACTTATAACAAAATAAATCTAAACTTTTCCTTACAAGAAGGTGATTTTGCTTATATTTCGTAGATGTATGCACTCCGAAGACTGATGCAAGGGTCGCAGTTGACTCCAAAAGCCCCACTGGGTAACAACGCTCGTCCTGTCCAGCCACTCCATCATCGCACCGTAAGAACGAACATCAACTTCAATAAACAAGGAGTTCAGGTATGAATACTATTGACAATAAGGATTTATCGCAACTACTTTTCAATAGCATTTCCGCAATGAAGTATCGAGCGTCATTAAGTCGTTTATAACACCTAAATCTTCTTCTACTTGCATTTATAATCAGCAATTTATTTCTGATAATAGTTGAGATCAGTATATCAGCAGTTAAAGGAAGTCTGAAATCGGCACCTGTGACAGAGAAGTTGAGAAGTGCGCGTTTGGGATGGTATAGACATGTGATGAGATGAAATGACAATGGGGTTGTTAAGAGAGTTTTAACTATGAATGTGGAAGGCTTTAGAGGAAGAGGTAGACCTAAGAAGAAATGGATGGATTGCGTGAAAGACGATATGTGCAAGACAGATATGGTATATAATAGAGGAGTATGGAATGAGAAAACATGTTTGCCGACCCCAGGCTACTGGAAGAAGGACAAGGGGAAGAAGGGAGAAGATCAGCATATTATGAAAAGATGTTGTTGTTGAAGAAGATATTTTGATTTTATGACCTGGCTTAAATTTTCGACATTTGCCTGGGGTTTAATTTCTTTTCTTGGGAATAAACGCATTCGCCGCCTTACTTATTTCAGCAGCAATAAAATTCGAACGGAACTAATATAGTGATATTATACTGAGTAATGCCCTGGTATTTCTGATCTCCATGAGCGACAGTGGTCAGTAGCCATCAAGTGGATCGTATTTCGCTCACCTATCTTCAAAAGCAATAAAAAAGTAATTATGTACAATGCTAATAAAACTTTCACTTGTGCAACGTATACAGCGTATTAAAAAGCTCGCACGGATAGTTACACTTTCCTACCTGTTTCAGACATGCATTTCGGTTAGTTAGATGAGAAGGTCGGAATGCAATGTAATTAAGTTGTCGCACGCAAAATCGAACCCGCAAAAATTATCATTTGCTTAATTACTGGTGGTAGGGCGTCTTGTGATCCCGCACAGGTAGGTACCATCGCCCTGCCTATTTCTGCCGTGAAGCAGTAATACGTTTCGGCTTGAAGGGTGAAGCAGCATTTGTGCTATGACTTAGAAATCATGTCCAAGGTGGGTGGCACTAATATTGTGACATCAAAATGCGGTAGATCAATTAACGAGTTCGTTGCTATCAGAGTCTATAGGCATTATGTTATCACAACTGTCCTACCCTTGGAACTCGAGACTGCTTCGCGGAGGAAATAGACGGGTATTGTTATCCAATCGTGCGATGCTTTTTTTATTGATTAGATGGCTGGATGAGTTCTCTGCCCACCTGTTTTTAAGCGGTTACCGGAGCTAAAAGATATAGTAACGAAAATGCCGTCATCTACCTTTAGAAATGAGTTCTATGTCTCCTTTTACCATCCAACGACTGCCCTACCCTTCAAACCGAAACGCATTACTGCCATACAGCTGAAATAGATAGGGTGGCGATAAATACCCGTGCTGGCTCACAAGATGCCCTGCCACCAGTAAAAGCTCACATTACGTCATATCTGCCAAAGAGCTCAAATACTGCTAGAAACAACTATGAAAATGAACATTAAAACTTTCACTATATATTCTGTAGAATACGAGGTAGGTACGAAGCAACGAATAGCCACTTAGCGTAACGCTCTGGCCGTAACTCAAGTTAACCACAGTGTTATCTCAGAAATGAGCATTCCCGTACAGCTAGCTGTAAATAAACACAATAATAGAGCGGTTCAGTTCAAAGACTGTTTGTCACTCGTTTATTACCATCGTATAATAAAAGGTGGATAAGATTACTAATTGTTTATTTACAAAGGGACATATTCTTTTGACGGGCACAATAGTAACTGACCTTTTATTATCTGTTTCTTTGTTTTTGCTGTTATTAAAACCAAACGTTGTAAATCAAGAAAAACCAAAATAAAAAGGGTGTGGCCATAGTTGAAGTATAGAAATGAGATTTAGACCTCATGTCTCAATATGGATGTTTGTATTTATGTATCTGATACCTATTCTGCGTTCATGTGATTACAACAATCAGATGGATCGTGACAACGTAAGCAATAAAAACAATTGAATCAGCGCAAACTCGCAATAAGTCATTTGTAATTTAATTCAATGGAGACAGTGTTGTTGAATTCAAACGTGAAATAGAAGCAAGACCTGAATGCAATCGACAATTTATTCAGGTAACGCCCGTGAAGCAATTCACGTTGAACGCTTTTGAGCTTAATTAAAGGCATCTTAGCCCCCGAGGTTGATCTTTCCGCTGTTAAGAACAGAATAAGTTCAAGACCACTGTAATCCGTTCTTGATTTAGTATTTACTTCGGTTTTCGCGAGTCGAAGTCATAATTGAATCTGCTTTTACACTTTAGTCGTGACTAAGCTCGGTGGTGCAATAGTTAGCGCTATTGACTTTTGTGCCGAGGGTCGTGGGTTCGACTACCACGTTGGGCAAACATTCGTGCGATGGACAGGTTTATTTGCTCTTTGTCTGGGTGTGTATTATCTATATATGTATACATTTCAACGTATATAAGTATGTATAATCAGTCTCTGATACCCATAACACAAGGTAACCTAATTTGGGACCAGATAACCAACCATGCGTGATTAATTCAAAGTTATTTATTCTATTATTTTATAGCCGTAGTCGCGTTTTTTTTTATTTTACCGAGAATACTGAATAAATAATATTAAATATTCATAGTACTATTTAAAAATAAATATGAATTAAAATATTAAATATACCTAATAAATTAACTTAATTTTTATGTATGGGCTAAAATATGGTCTGAAATAAATGATTATTATTATTATTAACTTTGATCTACAGGTCTCGAGCAACTGTCCCGATATGTACAGGAATATGCATTACACAGGTAATTTTCGACAATTACATTTTATGCGACACTTGAATTTCAATAAATTTTTTCTTAGTACACAAAAGCATGTTCAATTTTTTTGTCTATATATGCAATTTGAGAAAAAAATTCAATTTTTTGTTTAAAACTTTTTTGGATGGTGCATGATTTTTATTATTAGAATGTTAAATTCGATCTGGAAAAGAAAATATTTGTTAATTCTTAGTTCTCTTAAAAACATGCTTAGCATAATTATTCTTTTGTTGTATCAATAATTTTATGCTCAAGCAAGTTTTGATTGCACCACGAATCCTTTAGAAATGTCTTGCATATTATAAACTGTCCTTTGCAAGTTTCATTCTTCTCACGATTTATCTCTGTGTTTTTTTGCATGTGATCGTTAGATTAGTTGTTTTGTACAAATTTTCAGCACGATACCGCCGAAAGTTGCGATCGAAAAAAAGCGTTGCATGCAAACGAAACCGTAGCGAAAAGAAATGCATAAAAAAATAGGTATACGCCATACCTATTTACTACCTACCTACTATACACATTTACCTAGTTACAGAGCACGTTGTGAAGGTTAGTTTGCTTTTATTCATAAGTAGTGTTTAGTTTTACTTACTATTTTTGAAGTCGTCATGGCCTAAGGTATAAGACGTCTGGTGCATTTGTATATAGCAATGCAACAGCGTTCGGATCCCGCCGGCAGATACTAATTTTTCTAATGAAATACGTACTTAACAAATGTTCATGATTGACTTCCACGGTGAAGGAATAGCATCGTGTAGTAAAAATCAAACCCGCAAAATTACAACTTGCGTAATTACTAGTGGTAGGACGCACGGGTACTACTGCCCTGCCTATTTCTGCAGTGAAGCACTAATGCGGTTCGGCTTGAAGGGTGGGGCAGCCGTGGTAACTTTGCTGAGATCCTAGACTGATATCCCAAGGCGGGTGGCACATGTACGTTGTAAATGTATATGGGCTCCAGTAACCACTAAACACCAGGTGGGCTGTGAGCTCGTCTACCCAACGAGCACTAAAAAAAATAAAAAATACGCATTTGACTTTGATTTGTCGTACGTATTTTTATCTTTGTTTTCGCTCCACGTTGCATTACTCAATAACCTTTGCACAATTTCGTGTCTAATGGCTATATGTGTAAATTTATGGTTGTAAATATGTGTTCTGTTCTGTTCATTATTTTATGGCATGTTTTTTTATTTTTATTTCGTTGTTTGGTCAAAGATCTCACAGTCCACGTGGTGTGGAGTGATTACTTATGCTCTAGACATGATAATGTTGTAGAGATGTTGTAATGTTTTCCCCAAGTTTAGATGTGGGGTGAAAGTCTTAACTGTATTATTTAACGAATCAGAACGCATGACTACTTCATGGCACAAACAAGCAGTATGATGGATTGAGTCCGTGTGGGTTAACAAGTTGACGCTAGCGAGCGCGGTAATCTGATATAATAATCAGAAAGTGAAGTTGCCCGTTATCCGGTGTAGCCCAGCCCTTACGCGCTTTGACCCAAAAAAAGCAATGGAAAGCAATCGTTACGTATAGATGCTGTGGTAATCAAAATAGTCCTGACCTATTTCTGCGAATCCATTTGCTAATACTATCGTGTAAACACAGCCAATCACTGACGAATGTACTCAAACTAACAAACGAGTCGCAAAAGACTTGTAGGGACCACAAATGTCCCCATAGCAACTAATAATTATATGTATATTATATTGCAATGATGCTACGTCAGTCTCGGGATTGTCGGACTATCGATAGCACGTTAGGTTGTAATCCCAATATACGTTAGTCACATAACTGAACGCGTGTCTTATTAATCTTTGCCCGATATAGATACTCAACAGACTGTCTAGAGTTGCACTGTTCCATCTATTTCCGTGGATGTCGAAAAATACCAGTAAGGGCTTAACAAGTAACAACCGAGGCTTGTGGAGAGTACTTAACGGCAGGCAGCAGCTTGGCTCTGCCTCTGGCATTGCTGAAGTCCATGGGCAACGGTAACCACCCACCATCAGGTGGGCCGTATGCTCGTAAGCTTACAGGGACAATAAAAAAATAATAATAAAAAAACAGTATTAAAATTATAGCGAAAAACTTAAAAAGTAGCTTACATTAAAACGATTATGTTGTCGAAGCTCTCTATTACATTTATATTCATTATCCTTTTACGTTTCAGCAACTCAGTGGCCGAGGGATCACAACATTCGCTACAGAAACATAGACGATCTCGCTCTACCGATAAACTAAAAAATAAATGGCTAAAATTTTTTTTGCCCCAAATCCAATAAAGAAGAATTCTAGATAATAAAATAGTTTGCTTTAAATCTGGCTGGCGATCAGTAACACAGGTCTTTGAACCTAGTACAAACTTCAGCTCTTTTAAAGGCTAACAAAATAATTTATAAGGTTAATCTCTACTGGTATTTGTACCTTTAAGATACCTTTAAGAGATAAATAAATCAATTGTTATTATTTAAAAAAAATGTACAACAATATGTACATATTATGTAGATAAATAACTCTGACGATTTTCGTACCCAAGATGAGACGCAGGGATCGCCGCTGATGACTTTATGTATAGTCTATAGTATAATAATACTTATAGCTGAGTTGGTATTGGGCTTTCATACAACGTAGATTAATGTAAATTAGAATACAAGCAGAACATTACGTAACTTATTGTTCTACAATTGCGATTACGTAGACAGAAATGTATATAGATTATTATAGATATTCCTGAATAATATAAATTGTTTATGATACATATAAATATATTAGATTATGAACTAGGAACTGTTGTCAATTTAATAGGAAGGCGAGTTATGGCAAGAAACCCATAAGATTTATTATGAATTCTAAGGCTTGTTTAAGGTGAATTTTTCATGGGATCGTAAAGGTCAATTTCGGAATTGCGTAATTAGACCGGGACCAATTTGAAGAAAACCAAATTTGAGTCTGACATATGAATTTTCCTTATTCATAATCCTTCTGACTGATTTACAAAAAAAGACAACATACGTCGTGTTTCCTGTCTTTTCAGATCAACTATTCTAAATTGACATGCTTACAATAACTGTAATATAACAATTCTTTTGTTAGCAGAAAGTAAAAATAAATTACCTCCTTGAAAATTATCAACCTGACTAATTCACCTATGTAGCGAAAATAAAATATAAATAAAAAATATATTATTTTATAGACTAAGAGAAATAATTGGAGTAATCTAACGAGTGCGTCTTTAGATTACAAATGACAATAATAGAGCTCAGAAACGACATCCAAGTAAACATTTAAGAAAACAAAAATGTCAAGTTCAAAAGGCACTTCCATAGTATAGCATGTACTTATTTTAATACATTATAAGGAACATGTAGTTAGTATAAGGAACATTGAGACGATGGGCCCTTAGGGCCCTAAAGCAAATAAATTTTTAACAGAAATCTCCAAACGCTTGAAGGAGGTTACACATGATGCTAAGGCTGGCTGGTACTTTGCACAGAGAGTGAGTCTGGCTGTCCAACGAGGCAACGTAGCCAGTATCTTGGGAACTGTGCCTCCTTCAAGCGCGTTGAAAGAGCTGTTCTACTGTGTGGGTTGAGTTATGTTAAATTATTTTGATTTGACTTTTTGTTAATAATAAAATACCAAGGAACATGTATAACGTAAAATAAATGAAATACGCCCAGAGACATGATCTGTTACCGTGGGCAGTGCCATTGACTCTGTCACCATCGTATTTTTACATCAGGAGATATTGTACATATACAAATAATATTTACATCATACGTCAATCAAAAAACACAAGAATATTATGACCTTAGAAATGCCCTATCTTTAAAACGTGTGTAAAATAGCTTAAAATACTTCATTATTTATGCATAGAACGTATTATACATATATAGGTTTATATAAAGAAAAAGTTTTATTTATTAAATAAACATCCGTAAAACAAATGTAAATTGAAATATTAGTAAACTGCTTTTTACAAAATTTCCTTAGTAAACGCAGCAATGTCTAAAATATTCCCACTAATTTGGTACTTATTTATTATGTAAAAAACACCACCTTATTCTAATTATAATAATAAAATGAACAAATAATGCTATTCTGAGCTAAAAAAAACTTTAATGAATAAAAATTTGACTGTAGTAATATAATCATATACACGAAGGGATATTAACCGACAATTCCCGTCAGGACAAACAAAATTAAGTCAAATTATGATATAAATAAATATAAATATGCTAAAAATACTCGTGAGCATTTAGTTTACGTAAAACCTATGTACAAGTGTATATATGTATTTAGATCTAGTATTACGTGATGTACTAAGAATCATGTAATTTCAATTTCAAATCTATCATAAAACGTCCACAAATTTTAATTATATTAACCCAATAGACAAATTAAGCTTGGTATAGATGTCTATAGTATGTTACGTGTCTTAGTATAGTGAGATATATTTTAGAATATTCATATAATTGTGTAATGGCCTTTGAAAATATATTCGTTATCTAAGAATTGTTTAAATTAAGCTCAAAAATATTTAAAGACCGGGCTCAAAAACTGTTTAATGCTTAAATCTTTGTGTGATATATTTAGTAAAAAGGTGTACCTAAACTACAAAGAAACCCTTATAATTTTCTTGAAAATCACTTAATCGAATATAATTTAATTATAATGACGGAATGTCATATGTGTAGATATAATAGATAACTTATGAAACTGTAATGTACTTACGGAATTTGTTGTATTAGTTTAGAGGCTTGTATTGTAACTGATGTATGTAAATAAAAAAAATGTTTATCATTACAAATATCTTTTATTTAGTACTAGCTGACCCGGCAAACTTCGTAGTGCCTCAATCGAAAAATAAAAGACCTAAAGGCTTCGTCAAACAGAACGCGTACTTAGCGCGCTTCAGAGCGCTAAACTAACGCCGCGCTATGACGCCGAGATGTGTTGTACTACTATGGTAATATACCGTCAAACAGAGCGCCAACGCTATAGCGCTTATAGCGCTGGCGCTCTGACGCGCACTAATTACGCGTTCTGTTTGACGAAGCCTTAAACTTTTTTATAAAATAAACTTAAAACAAACAAAAGGAATCGACCGACGAGGGACACATCAGAGGAAAAACAAAATTGTTATTTGTATTTAATTCCGAGCATTTTCATATTTATCTACCTTTCAAACCTTCTCTGGACTTCCAAAAATAATTCAAGACCAAAATTAGCCAAATCGGTCCAGCCGTTCTCGAGTTTTAGCGAGACTAACGAACAGCAATTCATTTTTTTATATATAGATAGATGATACATAGTGTGCGTATTTCTATTTGATTGGAATAAACAAAAACAATTTAAAAATATGTATTGCACTTATGCGTAGACGAGCGAGCGTATGACACATCTGATGGTAGTAGTTACTGTAGCTCATTGTCATCAATAATGCCAAAGCCACACTCAAGGCGCTACTACTGCACTTAATCATTGTAATTATTATTACCATCGGTAACGGTAGTATTATTACGATTAATAAATTAGTAAACCGTAATATTACTGCGATTATTAAAATTTCAGCCTATGTTTACCCTTATATCGAATATTTCCCGAAGACTTTACAATATAAAAACTTAGTTAAGCATTTCTACTATGATCTTTAGTCCCAGAAAGCACATGCGAGATGTGAGTTATTATTATTATTGTTTCAACATAGAATTTAAAAGTATTTGGCTCGTACTGTTTCTAAATTATCGAGCATATTTTTCTTTTTACTTCAACAAAAAGATTAAATTAGATAGAGTTTTGTCAATATAATTTAAATGGCATGGAATGAGCGAACAGTTACCGCCTTCCGTTTTAAAGCTTTAAACTTCAGTTTAATAACTCTCATCCTTTACTTTCTTTTTATTGCTTAGACGGGTGGATGAGCTCACAGCCCACCTGGTGTTTACTGGAGCCCATAGACATCTACGACGTAAATGCGCCACCCACCTTGAGATATCAGTTCTAAGGTCTCAAGTATAGTTACAAGGGCTGCCCCGCCCTTCAAAACGAAACGCATTACTGCTTCACGGCAGAAATAAAATTATATATAAAAATAAATCTTAAATAAATAAAATGGCAGGAAATAAATTTCAGCTTAATAACTCTCGTCCTTTACTTCAAACCGAAACGCATGAGAACTTTGAGACAGAAATACAGATTAATCTTTAATGCATTCAAATATACAATCGGAGAGATTAGCAATAAAGCATGCAGAGGAAACGTTAAGATACGGCGATGCGGGGAACGCCGGATGTGTCCGGGCGGCCATGTTGTCTGCGACCCCGGTTTCCTCCGGAACTACGCCGTAGCTGTAACGCTACGCCGTAGTCGTCTACAACTGCAAGCACTAATGATATTATACACAATGTATCTAAATAACATTAATAACATTATTTTAATTAATGAATGTAAGTTTGGATAAATTTTAACTTTTGAAATTAAGGAGTTTCGTCTTGATATTTAGGCTACAGAGTAATTATTTCGTGTTGATTATGTTACGCTACAAAACGCATTCTAATTGAATTAAAGAACTTGATCTTACGTCACAAATTATCATTATAATTAAAGGAATTCAAAGATCATCAATCAGATATTTACTTAAAAACAAAATGGGAAGTTTTCCTAGTTTTACTAAGAAAACCTTTTTTCGTGTAAAGTGATTAGTAGTAGCAACAATATAGGGTGTAAATGATAAGTATAATGGAGGATGAAAATTTGGTCTAATGGTTACGGTAAAGGTGTTAATAGCTGAGACCAAGTCTTGTTTTTGCAAAAAAGATGGATTGTGTTCTATTGAACTCCTGGGTTCCGAGATTCAAATTCGTGTGTACTGACTGAATCATTAAAATAAAATAAATCCTAAAATATATCGCATAAAACGTCTTAATATTAGAATTTATTTTTATACTACACTTTTTCAAATAGTAATAATCGGGGACAAGTCACTTAAGGTCTTTTTAAGGTCCCAAAATGTATAGGATTCCCTGTATTTTGGGAACCAGAGGCTAATATAGGTTTAAATATATAAATATATTGGTACTTGTATACGTTTAATTATATATAGATATATTATGTACATAGATGTTAAATACCAAGATAAAAGAATAATAATAAATGTTTTGTGATCTCTATTGCTCGATTTTAAAATTATTTAATCCAATTTAACATTTTGATCAAGAAAAGCTTAATTTTATTTTTAACTATTTATAGGTGCATGAGCTTGTAGCTCCTTTGATAATGTGAGGTTACCAGAGCAAAATTACATTACAATCTGAATAACGTCGCAAACCTTGAGACATTTGAGGTCGAAATCTCAATTGTACTGTAAAACGGCTGCCACATTCAAAACTGGAATGCATGATTTCTTCACCACATAAATATGCGGGATTCCATTCCAGAGAGCCCCGAAAATAATATATGGATGCATAAAAAATACTGCTATGTACTTAGAAACAAGGTTTGAAATCAATCGCATTTACATAATCACTATTCACAAACAACTGACTAGTTTAGGAGAAACATGTTCCCAACAAGCTAAGTGTATTCAATAATATGCAACTAACGCGGGAAATTCCGCGGCCGGAAGTGGACGCCGGCCATATTGTTTGTGCACTAACATCCGGTGCGGCACTCGTCTTCCTGCGGCATGTCGCCGCACTAACTTGTTTTTAAACAGTATGTAAAATGCCGATGAAAATTTCGTTTACACATATTTTGAACTACTAATATTGTTGACACAGAAGTTTCTCGGAGATATTATCATTAACTACGTACAACTACACAATGACGCGCGAATAGAACTGAAATTTTATTAATAACCACTCTACCATAACTAATTCGTATGCAATACTTTCACGTACTTTTTACTGGTGGTAGGACCTCTTGTGAGCCCGCACGGGTAGGTACCACCACCCCGCCTATTTCTGCCGGGAAACAGTAATGCGTTTCGGCTTGAAGCGTGGGGCAGCCGTTGTAACTATACTTATACTGAGACCTTAGAA